ATGGGGCTCGATCCTAAGCGGGTCTCGCACTCATGGCGATATCGAGATGTGTGAGTCCTCAATCAAGAACCTAATCGAACTCGACCCTAAAAACAACTCAGCCTATGTTCTCCTCTCGAACGTCTACGCAAAGCTAGGACGATGGGAAGATGTTCGAGCGGTGAGAAAACTTATGGAAGAGATGGGCGTCAAGAAAACCCCTGGTTGTAGCATCGTTGAGCTCGATGGGCAGCTGCATGAATTCTTCGTCGGCGATGAGGCTCATCCAGAGAGAAGAGAGATATATCGGATGCTGGATGAGATCATGGAGAGGTTGAAATCGGTTGGATATGTTGTGAAGACTGAGGAGGTGTTGTTGGATTTGGATGAAGAGGGGAAAGAAATGGCTTTGGCTGTTCACAGTGAGAAGATTGCAGTTGCTTTTAGCTTCGTTAAGACAAAGCCAGGGACTACCGTGAGGATCATTAAGAATCTGAGGATATGTGGGGATTGTCATGAAGCCATGAATTTAATTTCTAAGGTTTATGGGAGGGAAATTGTCGTCAGAGATTGTAGCAGGTTTCATCATTTTCGTGATGGGGTTTGCTCTTGTAATGGTTTTTGGTGATTTAGTTAGTAATTATTAGCATGAGATTTATTTGTGTAAAGTTTTGTTTGTCTTTAATCAGAGTTTCTCCTTAAGCTAAAGATCACTTCTTTGTCATTGAATCAAGAAGGAATATATTCAAGATCAGAGGTAAAGATATCGGATACTAGTGAATATGATTAGAGTGATAGAGAAAATTAAGGTTTTTTTAACTATTATATTTGCTGAATCAAAATATACAATATCATACAATTTTTATATAATAGACTTGCTCACAAATGTAATATAATAAAATTCTTTGTAGATTACTCAATAATATATGAAATATGAAAACATTTACATAACAGGGTTTCTTTTTGAGATGTTTATTTAGTAGAGTTGCCTCCTAGTAGAAAAAATTTATATGTGAAATATAACAAAATAATACAATTACTAATTTTACATAGTATTTACTAAATCTAGTAGAATCATCAATTATCTACAAAATCTTTATATAGCAAAGTTGCATGCAAAAATCTAATAAATGACAAGAGTCGTCTATTATCAATTATTGTGAAATTTCTATATACAAGATCTGCATGCACAATCTACTGAAAGAAAAGATTACCATATGAAATCATCATCATTATATAGTATTTCTGAAATCTAATAGAATAATCAGTCTATGTTTATCCAGAACGTAATGATTAGCCAATTATATCCTAATCTTTGTTGAATACAAGATCCAAAATTGATGAAAAGACTTCTCTAACAGTCAATTATATGTGAAATTTCTATATGAGAGAGTTTCATACTAAAATATAACGAAAGAGTATATTAATCTACCAAATCTTTCCATAATATTTACTACAAATAGAATAGTAATTTCCTTATAAAATCTTCACACAATATGCTTGCCTACCGAAAATATAACATAAGAAAATATTTATCTACAACCATAGTGACGAACCTAGGATTTTTTTTTCCCAAGGTGGCCAAAATACAGCCATCATTGTATGTACCGACTAAAACGTGATATAATATGATAAATGTATGATAAATTTTCAGTAATTGTAGTTGGCTTTTCTATAATCACAACTACAAAGTTCAATTTGTAGACCTGATAAATTAACGATACACTATATATATTATAAAACTGAAATTTATTACAAACCATAATAAAGAAGAAACAAAGTAATATAATATAATCTAAAGAAAAGATTCTCACTTTAATAAACCAATCACCAAATTTGTGTTTTTCAAATGCAATTATGTAAAAAATTGAAAAAAAAAAAGTTCCCCAAAAAACGAAAAGAAAAATTGCTAAACAATGATAGCATGTGTTAACCGTTGGACTTGATGTGATTAATTAATTTTGGCTTTAGTTGTTTGGATTATTGGACATAGATTTTTCTTATAGCTTACTGAATATAGATTTTGTAGGCTCATTTAACTCCTAACTAGCCAACAACCATATTTACTTACCACTAGTTTGTTCTTTTATAAAAATCTAGGGGGGGTTGTGGCCTCTCCCGGTCCGTCATTGCGCAACTATAATTTTGTAGTCAATTATCTTTATGATCATTAAAGAACAGAAGATCTATCTTTGAAAAACCTACTCATAGAGAGATTTCCTATTATTTCCTCATACAAATTTTAGAAAATTACCTGTTTAAAAAATATTAAGATCCACAAATAAGTAAACAACAATCGATTACCAAATTAATGCCTCAATTTCCCTCTATTTTTGTTCTACTTGAATATATGCTCTCCCTCCATCCCCCTCTATAATACCCCCAAAAAACAACCAAAGAAAACAAAAACCATGGCTTAAAAAAAGTTATATTGGCATGGATTACCAATTGGCAATTATGGCTGATGCCCAATTACCCGCCCGCCCACCATTTAGCCCGCTTATAACCCACCCATTTGGCTACACTGACATGGATTGCCAACGAATAGAATGGGAACTATATTTCACAAAAACATCAACACTCTATGGAGGTGTGGGGGAATTTTGCTTATTTTGCTTCTTTCAAGATTGAGGCTGTTGCAGGTCATAAACGAGCAGCTGATAGGAGTGCTGAAACTTCTACAACTAGTGGGGGATTTTACACGGTGGCTAAAGCTTCTTCCTTATGGCAAAGATGGTGCCATGGTGAAGTTGCTTCCCCAGTTATCCTAGAATGAAGCTGTGAAATTTGCTAAGGCTGCGTTTGGGAACTTGGATTTGAACCCTGGATTTAAAATTCAGGGTATTTCAAATTCAAATCTCTAGTTTGGATTTTTAATTAGGCTTAGATTTCAAATCAAATCATTTGAGAGAGGAGAATTTGACAGCCCAAATCCACATATTTTAAATCCCATCCTCACCCTTGGTATTTACCAAATCCCAATCCCGACTCCTCCTCTCTCTCATTTCTCAGTCCCCCCGATCCAAATCTCCTCTCTCCCCTTCTCCTCTCTCGTCGAACCTTAGATCTGATCGTCTCCCCCTTTCTCCTCTCTCCCCGTTCCATCGAAACCCTAGCTCCGCCTCCTCCTCCCCCGACGCCGCCGCGCAGGTACGCCTCCGGGAGGCGGAGGAGAGGCTGCGCGAGGCGATCCAGGAGCTCCAGCGCCACCACTCCCGGCGAGGCTCCGGCGAACACCCCGCCTGCGACCACGCTGACGAGTCCTGCATCGCCCACGCCATTGGAAACCTATGCCAGAGCTTCCTGCTCTCCTATGGGGTTAGGGTTGGGGTCGGGATCCTCCTCCGAGCGTTCAAGCTCGCCAAGCAACGGTCGTACTCGTCGATCCTTGATCTCAAGGTATGGATTTCTTTCCTCCCGTCGTTGATTTTTGTGTGGAATTTGATGCCTCTGAAGATCGATTTCTTTCTTTCTTTCTGTTATTTATTATCTTATCATAGAATTTGAAAGGCACATGCAAATGTTGCTGTTATAACTCAGGTGAAATTTAAAAATTAAGTAGAAGCACCAATACAACTTTGCTTTGATCTCAACAGTAGTGATTATGTTGAAATAGAACACACGAAATAACACATATTGAGAAGTGAAAATCAATAGGCAGTCCCTAATGGCGACAATGACGTCAATATGCTACATGTTCTCATAATCATTTAATATGATCGGAATATGTTGCTCCTTTGATTTTAACTTCGACTACTAATTAGTTATCTATCTGAGTGGCAGAGCTGGGTTTTCCCCTCCTGGGAGGGGCCAAAATACAGTTATCAATCATAGTTATCTACATTCTCGAAGAAGGCATTGTTCTTACAATAATAGTGTCTGATATCATTACTCCAAATTAACAATTAGTTGGAATCCTAAGGGCTTTCAGTTTTCAGAGTTTTATGAGGGCGCACGCTGTTGCCATTAGGCATTGGAAAATTTTACAAATAGAATTGAAGGACGGAAGAGATATGGCAGTCCAATGATGGGTTTTATTAGCTAATGCAAAAACAATGATCATGAGAGGACCCTCAATGCAAAAACAATGACCATTTTACAAATAGAAATGCAACATTGTCTCGTCGATTACGGGATCTCTACTAGCCAGCAGGAGACTCCTTTCATTATTTTTGCGGTTCCTACTAGCCACCAAGCACTGAAGGGCTCTATGGTTTCATATTTGATGTGCATATGACTATTTCATATTCATGTGAACGACAATATTCATTACATATCACCTTCTAATATCTATTGCATTCTAATAGATTTGATTCATAAATTTATAAAATTATGTCATGCCATCATTTAGAAATTCACACTGCAAATATATGTAATTATTGTTTTGATTCATAAAACAACATGACGGTTCATGAAATAGTCATATATACCAACAGCAAAACATACCACCTGCACTCTTCAGCGCATTCAGCATGGTCAAAGGAGTTACCCACTACGTCCAGAGTTGATTGAGAGCACATATTGGTTATTCAAGGCTACCAGAGATCCAAGGTTTGCCTTATTTTGAACCATAAAGTTCATATTTCATATTCCTCTTAATGAAAAATATCTTATTCTTGTTACTCTCTTGTTACTCCAGAGTTTAGCCTGTCAAGATCAATTCTTTATATGAGATTGGTTGTTTTGTTTGCTTTATTGAGTTACTGAGCTCATGTGAATTTAATATGTTACAGAGAGCTAAAGAGGCTATGCGCCTTTGGTTTCACATAAGGACTAGAAAATACAAAAGAACAGTGATGGACACTAGGGGGTTTTGAGTTAATCAGCTAATATTTTTGAGGACCTGAGATTGTTTATATTTTGGCCATTCATATGCCATTATGCCTGCAGATTCTCCTCATATATTCCCCAAATTAATTGTGTTCTAACTTCCTCCGCGATCGATGAAACTGGCCTTCATCTTTGACCAAGTTAACTACATGAAAGACCATGACAAATCCTAATAAATACATGCAAGTACTTTCCTTATGGTTTTTATGGTTAATACATGCCAAATCACCATAATTACTCTTAATCTTTGTTTATCTATATAGTCTAAGTGGAGGATAGCTTAGTGTACATTTCAAGCTTATTTAGTATGAATTCTGACTGATTTTTTGTTTTCCATTATGCATAATTTTGTTTTGTAGCCTTTCGAAAATTTTTGGAAGACTTACTATTCATCTGCTGTGTCTTTACATTATGCAACTTGTTATGCTAATGCAGGTATCTTGATGCTGGGCGAGACATGCTGGCAAGCCTTCAGTATGGTGCAAGATGCCCATGTGGTTATTGCCATATTGCAGATGTTGAGTCTCACAAACAGGATGACCACATGGAGAGCTTCTTCCTTGCTGAAACAATAAGAATAAATATATATATTGCTGTAAAAAAATGTAGTCTGCCTTCTTCATTGAATCTGCCAAAGTTAGCCTAAAGTGGAGACCTGTCACATGGTTGTTACACTTGTTCTAAACTTTTGTATTTCAATCACTTCAGTGAAATGATATATAGTGAAAAGAAACAAGCCTTCTAGGAAAACCATCCTAAACACTATGTACACTTTGATGCTCTCCTTTTACAAGTATTTTTAGCACCACTTTGTTAATGTCATTGTGATAGATAGTTATGTCAGTTTACTCATATTAGGTCAGTTGTATATGCACACGACACAAATTTGAGTGCCTATGTCTCATGTATGATGTTAGGCTGAGTTGTAAAGTGTGCGCAAATGTAGTTCTCATGTTTGTTATTAAGTTGTGTATCATCTAGTGTATTGATTTCCCTAACCAATACTCTCACATGTCTCCATATGCTTTTATGCTTATCTTATTCAGTCTTACTTATCCGGCATTTTTTGTTAGCTTGTTAGCTTGATTAAAAAAAATTTATTGATCTGCTCATTTTCTTTGCAGGTTTTGGGCTCATATCGTGATGGCTAATGAATTACTCTTTTGTTGCTGCGGATAGGGTTTATCATACAAGCACTTTTGAATCCCCAGTTACAATTTCTTTACATCAAGGATACTTCTCTTCTCACATGCTATTCAGTTTGTAACTCTTTGAATTTTTTCTTATTAACATTTCTCTTGGTATATCAAAGACCAAATTGACTATGTAATTGTCAAATGTACCTGCATTTGAGAATATAATGGAATTGTTACTTATTTTCTCTGATATTAACTTATTCTCACTTTGAATATGTATGAAATATGAAACAAGCCTCAAATGTTTTTCAGTCTGGATATCTGTGAAATATGCAATGGTAATGTATTATTTAGATGTTTTTTTAAGATACTTGATATGTTTGTAGAGTTTTCTTTATTTTTATTTTGTTGAAACTCTTGCAAGTTATGATGGGCAATGAATTTGAAAACTTAGCAAATGTAGCTATCATCGCCAAAATTACCTAAATTTGTGTTTTTTGGTTAATATTTTACACATCTCCATTGCATTTGATGTAAACAAGATGGGTTAAGAGAATAAATTTTTATCAATTTTAAATTCAAATCCATGTATAATAAAGTACCCAAACACTAGATTTTGAAATCAAAGATTTCAAATCCTTTTATTTAATAAATATATCCAAACAAAAGATTTCTTAAATCATGGATTTCAAATCCTAAATTTAAAATCCCTTGATTTTAAATCAACTTCTCAAATCCAAATCCAAGTTCCCAAACGCAGCCTAACATCCTTTTGTCAAGACTATGCTATTTTTGCTTTTATATCCTTTTTGTAAAGGCTAAATTACCAGACTGGTATTATTTCTTGATCCCCTTACCATCCAGGTATTATTTCTTGGTCCCCTTACCGTCTTGGTATTTTCTCTCACTTTGTTGTATTTTGCTTTTTGTTCTTCTTCCCTTGGCCCATTGTGCAAATAGACTCAAAAGTTGGTTGACGGCCAAAAAAATCCGCGAATCGCTAATGTGGAGTGCATTAAAGGGTAATTAATTATGGTGATTAGGTTTAGTTGAAGCACGAGCACATGCTCCTCTCCCTCTTAATTTCATTCAAAATTAGCGCAAGAAATTAGGTTAGGGCTTGAATCAAAGCTCCCTTTCTACTTCACCTTCCTTCACTCCAAATTTCTTGAATATTATAGCAAGCCCTCTTCAAGTTCAAGCTCAAATTCGAAGAGAGATGGATTGAATCAAAGAAATTTGGAGGACATGAAGGTGAAATTGAAAAGAGGAACTTTGATTTAAGTCTTTAACCTAATTTTTTGCTCTCGAATGAAATGAACAGGGAGAGGAGCGTATGTTGCTCATGTGCTTCAACTAACCTTAATCACAAAAAATATTTACTGTTCATTTTGGTCAATTTGCACAACGAGACGAGAAAAGAAAATGTCAAAATAACACCAGACCAAGAAATATACCAAATAGTAAAAGGGGTCAAGAAAAATACCAATCTGGTAATTTTGTAATCGATGTTAGCCGTTGGGTGTTTATGATATTGATGATGTGAATGATATTATTTATACTACGGTAGAGCTGGGGTGTGGTCAATTTCATGTAATCAGTTCTTTTTGGTGGTTTACAATACTAACTAGGATAGTTTATCGGTGGCTAATTAGCTTATAACACAAATTTAGTGAGTGAGTCTTGTATTGCTCATTTTTAAACTTTATATACTTTCATTGTACTAACCGTTTATTTTACCATGATTCCAAATATAGAACAGTTCACGATATTAGCAGATGCAAAATGTTTAACATGCAAAATTTGTGAATGATGTTAAGAAAAGTTTATCGTGTGAAACCAAAGTTTTCAAATTCAACACGCGTTCCAAATTACGGTTCAGTATAGTGTTGTTTCACATTAACACGTTGTTTATTACACGAGTAATGTTGTGATGAATGTTTCTTAATTAGATATTTGCTTACTAATATTAACAGCCCATCATACAATTCCAGATAGCCAAATAAAAAAAAAATGTCTCGCTGCGTAGCTAGCTCTAATCCAATAACAGGACTTGTAAAGCTAGGTATCTAAAACTTCCAAACTCCAAATTTTGACGAGGGTCGGAATTTGTCTGTTATGTCCCTTCAATTTGAGTGTTTATTATATAAGGGGGTGTTTGTTTGCACAATTTTATAGAAAAATTTTCTTAAAATGTCTGACAATAGCAATTTTATAATTAAAAATTTTCTGTAGATTTTCGTAAACTGTTTTAGTTCAAAAAAATTTATAGAAATATTTTCTGTAAAATACAAAAAAATACCAAAATTTACAAAAAATATTTTACTCTGAAAATAGGCGAAAATTACCCAGAAGTCTAAAACCACATTGACATTTTTCTATAAAGTTAACAATTTTCTATAAATTTAGGGGGTGTTTAGTTTAATTTTTATAAATTATAGAAAATCTTGCTATTTTCTATAAAGTTATGGGTTATTTTCTTGCTTTGAACCAAACAAACAAACAAAAAAAAACAAGAAAATTAATATTTTTTAACTTCTCAAAACTTTTTCTATATTTTTTTTAAAAAATACAAGAAAATCATATTTTGAATGAAAAACATTTCCTATAATTTGTAAAAATTAAACCAAACACCCCCGCTGAAATCTGAACTCGAATCGTATTGTACTTTTAAGAAAATTCGTAGTAGGTGAAATGTAAACATACCATTTATTAAGATCACTTTATGAATTTGTAGCTGGTGAAATGTAAACTGAATTGTTTTAATACAATACGTTAAGTGATCCTTTTAGCTGTCACAAGTCAGATATAGACCGACGCTTGCCAATATTTCATTTGCTTTGAGACTTCAACAACGTTTACTAATTGTTTTCAAGATTGTAACCAAGTACCTATAACCATAAGAATGCAGCAAGATCCAAACTACATATAACTGATGCAGATTTACCATAAATTTTGGTTTAAAGATGCTACGAATTTAATTTAATACCACCAGAAACAAAAGGGGGAAAAACCAAATTTTAGAGCATAATATTATCCGAGAAACACGTAGGGACATGCTCCAGGGTTTGGAATAATAATATAACCTTGAATTCAAAATTCTCACCATAACTACTCATGCCAAGATAAAACGGAGATCTACTTACCAGTTCTTTAAAACCAAATCACAAAGTACTAAGACCTCAGAACAAACTACAATGACAAACAGAAACAAGAAAAGGAAAGCACTCAGTCTTCCTCCTCGCCCTCATTCTCTGCAATGTTGAAGTACCGAAGCTCGTAGACACTGCGATCCTTGTTTGATGCAATGACACGCAACCAATCCCGCACATTATGTTTCTTCAGGTATTTCTTTGTAAGATACTTCAAATACCTGAGAAAAATACAACCAAGGGATGAACAAATTATTAGTAAAGTATTCAATAATTAAGAAAGCTATAAGAAATATGATCAGAATGGTGAATTATCTGTGATTTTTGTTTTCTGTCCACATGATTAATTAATATCACTAGAAACGCAATGTCAACCTTCACGAAAAGGAAGGTAAGAAAAAAAGGCTATTCAAATAGAATGGCAGGACAAATAAAAAAAAGATTTACAATAGAAGTACCTAATACAGCAGAGTAATGTGTAGTTAGTGATAAAGCCATAACAAATAAATGCTAAAAACAACACACTTCTCGTATTTCAAAGTAACATGTACAAAAAACAAGGGTCAGAAAATAATACTTCTTTAGTATCTTCTGCGGATACACAAGGCAAATAATTGCATGAACTCAGAGAGATTTTCCATGACAACCATACAAAGTTTGTGGATTGATGCTTGCTAAGTACAAAACATAACAGGTCAAAAAACTTGAAGAACTATTCCAAATACATAATAGCACAATGGATGCATGCAATACTGCACAAATTCTCATCATCAACCAGAGTGTAAATACAATAGGTGGAAGGGCACTTAAATTTTTACAGGTTCAAATTACTATGACCACAAAAGTTACGATGATACATCAATGAATCCCATGTTATTTGGATACAAGTCAAAGAAACAATTACATAGCTATGATCAGATAGAAATATATATTCACGAATTAGCAACCGAGAGACAAAAATAATATGATCCCAAACAAGGTCATCAAGAGAAGCTTCAGAGATTTTGATCCAAAGTAACATAAAATTACTTCTTAGGTTGCAACTGTACCAATACTACAAAGAGCACCGCTTAGAACAAATCACAATAATATAAACATAGAAAAACATTTAAAGAAAGAGTAGCTGCTAAAGCAATATAAATAGTAAGAGAAAAATGCAAAGATTCCACCTGTACAAGTAAAGTAACCTCATTCAGATATCGTTATTCATCTACAATACTATTCACTTACAGCGCACCTAGAATAATACTTGTCATTGCAATTATTAAAGGTGTTATGAATGTCACGGAAATAAAATTTACTGAAAAAATATTTTGACTTGTCATTTTCAGAAGAGTTCGCTAACATGGTAATATAGTGAAGAAATGTAGCATGTGAGAAGAGATTGGCCAAAAAAATCAAACCGTAGCTGCACAAATTGCATGCAATATGACAAAAACAATGAAACAAGTATCTTAAAAGATTAAAAGAGCAACAGATACTAAATATATCTCTTTGTAATACCAACTATAACTCTTTCCAACAGAACTTGCAAAGAGAAAACGGGCACTAATTAAGAGGATAAGGGCATGAAGGGAAATTACAGTAACAAGCCAACAAATATAAAACCAAAACAGCTGAATACCCCTTCAATGTAACTAATAATTCTATAATTAACTAGGAACACCAATATTGCAATAGTCAAGACGTTCGCACACTATCCTGAGCAACTAGTGGGAAAACCGCTGCAAGAGAAATTATTTTTCATTTCTTATGCTCCCCTTACTTTTCCTGAATTCCAAGCGCATGTAATGTTTTCAAAGGGACCAAGTTTAACATAATAAGATGGATAATCAAATTAATAACAATGAATGACCAAATTTTAACATAACGATAAATAAAACCAATTCAAATATTGAAGATAATCACTGATCCGTCTTTACAATAAAGCTCACCTAGCACCTTGCCATTGGCTTTCTTTTTTTAATGGCATCTTACGTCAAATATGGTAATCCTACACAGAATGCCACTGTATCATTATACTACAACCCCAAATTCCTTGCTCACTAATTATCCCAAGAACCGTATTGACTCAAATAGATTTATACAGATAAACAAATTAACATAATTAATTCCTACGAACTTCAAATCCAAACTAACAGAATATGTTCCAGTATTCTAATATCACAGCATTACGATTCCATAACAAGCAAGCACAGTCAACCCAAATCATTATCCGTCAAAGAGATTCAAATCTCAAACGCATTTCAAAAAGTCCAAGATCCGAGCTTTTACCTCTTGGAGAAGGGGCCCTCCGAGGTGACGGTGATCTTGCTCTTGTCTCGAGCAATGGTTACGGCGTCGCCGAAAGCTCCGGCCTTGCCGCCGGCGACCTTGATGCGCTCCTGCAGGAACTTCTCCAGCGAGGCGATGTCCATGATCTTATCCTCGACCGGCTTCGCGCAGTCGATCACGAAGCTCGACCCCTTCTTCTTCCCGCCCTTTGCCGCCGCCGCTCGACTCATTTTTGGTGTTTTCTCTCTCCCTCTCTCGATCCGCAGCGAATTAGGGTTAGGGTTTTGGAACGAGGAGGGATTTGCTAGTATTTATGTCTGCGATGGGGTGATGATCGGCTGCTTGCTTTAAGATCCTACGGTTCGGAATGAAATGGGCTCTAGCCGCATGAAAGCCCACCAATGTGTATATAGGCAATGGGCTTAACAAGTCCGCCTGAACCGGAACAGAGTTAATAGTTTCGTTAGTTTCTTTCACCTTCGTCCTATTTTCCGCAGCATTTATATACTTCCAAGCCTTTTAAAATTAGCAGTTAGATACGAAAAATTTTACCCAAACATTTTCTTTCATATAGTACTTAAAATCAATTCGCATGTGAGTGTCAAAGAGAATATTTAGGTGAAAGTCTTCACTTCTGACAACAGAGAAGGCAATTTTAAACGAGCAATATAAACGGGTTTCGAATATGTAAATGCAGGTGAAACTATAACGTATGCAAGTGTTGTTTGGCCTAATTTCTTCTCAAGGAACTTTCATTAAAGCTTGTTGGATCACAAAAAGGACAAATATTCATAAAAAATAATTTGAAATGTTCACAATAGTAGATACAGACTTACTACTAAACTAGAATGGCATGCAGATATTTAATGGTTTTACTCAAATTAAGAAATTCTAAATGAAAGATGAACTTATAATTCTAGGGTTAATTGCTTATAGGCCCTACCTATTCTTGTAGATAGACCTCCTGGGTTCTCAACTAGTTAGTTTTTCTATTTAACTTAGTTATGTGTAATGATCATTATGCAAGTTTATAGTAAGTAATTAGTTTGCGAAGCTCATACGCCCCTGTTTATAGTACAGGAGCTTTATCAACAATTAACCATGAATTCTATTTAGTATTGCAGAACCATACTTCTATCAGTCAAGCCGACCAGAAGCCTGAAGCGAGGAAAACATAGTAACAGACTTGAATTAAATGAACGCAAAATTTCCTTCTCATTAACAAAAACAAATAGATACACAGCGTGAATGCTTCGTCAAATGATCAGGTATCTTACCATGCAAAAAAGATTAATAAATTACACAAACTCATACATTGTAAAGCAGCTGAACTATGCTATGATTAAACATCAAAATGACCCAGCGCGGAAACTAAAAGCAACAAAAAGCAGCGCTACCATTCTACAATCTCACATCATGGAATTTTGTGTTGATTCATTAGCTGCAAAATATGAGAGCAGCAAAAGTTGATCAAAAATATAATTTCTTTCTCCAGATTCAGGCCTTCTTGTTAGATTTCCCTCCGGCAACCTTAGCTTTCTTTGCTTTTGGCTTTTGATTACCGTGATTGGGTTCCTCGGATTTACCATAAGGTTCCACCTCCTCATACTTAATCGGCTTGATGATTGTCCCAGCTTTTTTGACCACCTGTTCAACAATAAGATAAGAGCTAAATACACCGATATTTAATTGCGAACGTTGATGATATCTAACTATGAATATCAATGATTCAACAAACAGAAGTTTTACAGAAATACTAAGTAATCATACTTCAAGAAGTTACCCTAGCAACCAAAACAACTTCTACTAAAACGAAAATAACCACTCTTTTTAATACTTATAAAAATACTCCGTGTTCTATTAAAAATATACATAACCACTCAAGTTAACAGTTATAGAATTACTCCATTTAATCTTAGAAGTTCCAGTAGAGATTAGGGTAAGTAGGGAGGGAGGGTGAGAATTTAATGTTTGCTCATTACAGGTGTCAAAATGGAGGTCAAAGATTACACTACTTGTAACTAGATTTTCCTTATATATTTTTTAAGCGCTACATAAGGATTCATAACTCTAGGAATCCTGCCAGTATGCTATCTATATCAGTTATATCTTCCATGTGTTTCCTTGGATAATCAGGGATGTAAGCTCTTCAACTATTCCCAATTTCAGATACGTAGTACTGCTACTCTTTTCTTCTTTTTTCCATTTTGTCCAAGTTAAAACTTCTCAAACAATTTGGCTTGGCCAAGCTGCAAAAAAAATTTAAAAAAAAATTAAAAATGCACTATAATACTCACTGCTGGACGATTAAGCGCATTGACTGATATTGCAGGGTTATACTCTGGTCCAAGTGGCATCCTAATGCTCTGCTCGTATACTTCTTTCGATCTATATGGGAAGGGTAGGGTATTTGCATGAAGTTTCTCGGCCTGCAAAAAATTGAATTGTCACATAATATATACACAAACTGATGACACCAACAAAAGAATATTTGAAGTACAACAATATAATTTACTTCGACGTAATTTTCATGAACACAGTCTGCTGACGTTATGAATTGGATAATAACAATTGGAGAAAATACTAGATGCATACTGACAGCAGTGCAGCAATAAGAAAACTGAAAGCTTGGGCATGCCATACTAGTATACTACACTAATGAAAACTGATGTACGATAACGGCGCCCAACAGTGTGCAAATCAGAACCTAAACTCCATGCAATATAAACAAATTAAAAGATCGGGGTGCAAATGGAACACATGGAGTGGACATAGGCATTACTATTGGGTTTTTCCCCCCTTCTCTTCTTGAGGGCACGAATATGAAGATAGATATCTGTCCAGCCAAGGTAACCATCATGCATGTTTAATAAAAATGTTAAAAATCGAATCAGATTCCTAATGGAACCACATACCTACCAGCTTGTAATACGAAGACTCAAAAGTCCATGTGCCGATATTAAAATTGTGAAGAGAAATGAGGATTATTAACATGCCCCCCACAGATAGAGCACCCTTTCCATGGGCAGAAACTTAAAACCACAGCGGAAACTTTTACCCCTAAACCTGCTTTAAATTCATGATGGTGGAATCTGAACCTAGGTTGCTCCGGTACCATAGTAAAGTCCCAGTCAGCGCACCAAAACTCTAAAGTTGTAATGAGAATTGAGGGTTATAATTTCATACTCTAACAAGGAAGATGGATTCAAACTTCAATGTTAGTTTGCACGTCATAAGAAAGGTTCTTGATTTTTTCATTAAGGAATATTAAGTATTTCATGAATGTATACATAGTCAGACATGTTATTGAATGTATAAGTAGTCAGACATGTTGTTTTATGTTATGTTTGAAGATTTGAAACATTTTCTTGGATACATGGATATGCTCAGATTTATGGATTTAACATATTGGTGTTCGCATTGTATCTATTAACCATAGTTTACAAGATCAGATACGAAACAGATTTGGATCAAATTATTCCTTACCGTTACATAAACTATTATAAAGAACTAAAAGATGTCTAAAAATTAGGAAGTGCCATCACCTGAACCTGCTATGCATGCCCTAAAGAAGAGGGTGAAGTATGGTGGCATGAAATAAGGCTGAATAGAGGTTCATAAATGATTTTAATTATGTAGGGATTGGTTACAAAATGTACAAAATGTAATTTTGTAAATTACAGTTGGTTAGGAATTTAATTACAGCACTATGAAGGAAATGGTTATAAAATGTAATTTTGTAAATTACAGTTGATTAGAATTTTAATTATGGCACTTAGTTATGTAGGAATTGGTTATAAAATGTAATTTTGTAAATTACAGTTGGTTACGATTTTAATTACTGCAGCTGCTGACTAGGTTCATTTGACCTACCCACGTTTCCAAGGCAAAACGAACTACTCCAATAACTTAATAAAAGTGCATAAATGGGGATTTTAAGAACAAGAATAAACATATATATCAGTAAAAGAGTTTTGACTAAATACTAGTACAAGTTTGTACATGCTTAAAACAAGAAAACTGATGGAGGAGTACGAAACCACATAGTCGCATACTGCTTTATGTGAACATCTTTGGCAATAAACAGAATCCATGAAAATAATATAGAAACAGAAAAGATAAGAATATCAAGTGAAGATTAGGAAGTATAAGGTGAATCAATCATCTCAAAGGATGTATAGTTGGGTGTAATGAGGACAATATGGAGAATCAACAAAGGCAGTGCCAAACCATCAATACATGGACTATTTTTTGAGCGTCTGTATTTTTTTTCTTGAAACAGTAAAACAGAAAAGGAAAACACCTACAATATAAAGAAGACATGAGTTGAAGGTTCTAAAAAGGGCTTGGTATGACACCGGATGTTCCTCTTGACGGGATGATTCCTCAAGAAGAATTTATAAGTTGGGATAAGGTTGAATTGTTGTGCTCATAATCGTAGAAATTCATCCACAAAATAAAAGTGTAAGAGTAGAACTTATCCACTGACCTTTTTATCAATCTTCTCTGATATAATGACATGCTTAAGATTAGAATCCTTCCTCTTTTTGAGAGCATCTTCCCTCTTCCTTTTAGCCTTTTCATGTTCTTCTAGCATCCAAGATGGAGGTCCTCTCTTTTGTTGGACATTAGTCCATTGACCCCATCCAGGGAGCAAAACTGGTTTCTCAGGTTCAGGATTTTCCTCATTAAGTGCCCCCAGTTTGTCCTTTTCGAATTCCGCTTCCACGTCATCACCAGCAAATGCACTGTGTATAAGATCAGCTTGAGATGGAAGTTCATAATCAACTTTCGCTCCAACAGAATGAATTCCATCCACCATCTCTTCATCTGAATCAGAATCGCTATTTTGATCCATTGCCTACAAATAAAATAAGTAATAGATCAGGCAAAGAGGTAAAATACTAACCTAGTGGCATGCTAGCAACTGTACCTTGATATCCTGACTAGGCGGAGCTGAACCTGCAACTCCTTCAGATCTTCTGTTTCTTGTCTCCAACTTGTTTTCACCTTTCATCTGTTTAGCAACATTAAGTGATGAATACATATTACAAATGAACAAATATCTGAAGAAATGTTGAAAAGATATACAACCTTCTTCCAGGAACCAGAAGCAAATATGGCAACATCATATGATGTTTTAGGACCAGGGTCTTTCATAATGTCCTCAAAGTTCTGCATAACACACCAGAGACATTAAATTGAGACATTAAAAAGGTTCCAACTGTAAGAACTGCAATAAATACATATTAGGAAGTAAAAAAACTGTGATTAAAATGACGGACCTTAAATACAGATTTCTGACCCATATCTGACTCCTCATCAAGAAGTGCTGAACCAATATGCACGTTGTTCACCTCACTTTTAATTTCATGTCTATCTTCATGTTCTTTGGACTCAAAATCATCTTCACTATCACTATTTCTCATATTCTCTGGCTCGATCCTTTTACTAGGTTGCTCTGGCTGGTTCTTAACTGCTCCAAATACCTTTCTACCACTTAGCTTCTTCGATTTAGAGCATTCCTTGTCATCATTTTCAAGATGCCCCAATGATGAATCATATTCTTGAAGAGCAAGCCGAGCTTCTTCCTTAGCTGCCTCATTTTGCTTTTTTAAACTACGCTCCTGTGCAACACAAAACAAAGACGCTTGAAAAATCAGGTGCATCCAGTCATTACTTTTAAGGTGGTGACAAGAAAATAGGAAACCTAGGAATCGACGGAATCAATCTGTACAGAAGACAAAGAACATATAGAATACAAGTAGAGATGTTGAAACAAACAAAAAGAAACATAGCATAAAGGCCAAAAACTGTGTGTGTGCGCGCGCGCTTGTGTAGTTGGCTAAGGCAGGAAGTGAAGCAATTGGAGAAAGATAGACAGGATAGGATGGCCTATTCTTCTCCAAGTTATAACATCAGGTATTATCCTCCCTAGTGCAGTCAATGAACCTCAGACCAGACAGCTCGTCATCTATGATTCACATGTATTGCTAATTTGAATTATGATTATATGGCATTTTAACAGTTTACCTACAAGAAAACGAATGAGAAGTAAGTCTTGAGTAGCTCAAGAGTCCAAAAAAGGTAACTTTCATTAGTAAATTAAACCCATCACCAGCTTTTGAACTGGCAGTGTCTGCTACAAAGATCAGAAGATGGAAAAGCAGGTAAAAGAAAAAAAAAATAGATAAAAGAAGTAAAAAAAGTACAACTCACTCCAACAGAAATTGATCTCATGTGATATACAGACTGATTGAAGGAAGAAAAATATCTCTTAAAGAAGTTTATTCTCATAACTATCCAGAGTCTATTGAAGAAGAGAAGAGAAACCCGTGCTTTGAGAAGGAAATTGAAAATAACAAAAAGAAGAAACAACACTAATGTTTTCCCCCACGCATAAATTTATGCTCATGAGTTTGCAAAAAGAAACTAGATACTTTGCCAGCTGTAATAGGAACCGCTTCAAAGATGGAATAAGTACTACAGGTTTCAAAAATAGAATAAGTACTACAGAGAGAAACATTTCCCTCCAGGAAAGATCAAGTGTTTCTTAACTTGTTCTGCAACTTCAGCAACAAGAGAATCTTTTCAAACCCCTTGAATCTTATATCTCTATCCACTTTGGTGGAAGCAGCAATAGGCACAAACAAAGAGAAGGATAAATCATTGAACGTCCACAGCTAATATGGTTTAGAATGAAAAGTTATAAAACTATCGCTAACTGCAAGAAAGTTCATATGTTAAATCATCAAAATCCTCTTAAATGTACAGACAGCAGAAAGATCATCAACATAACTTCGCAAACAAAAAAGCTGATTACATAAAATATGATCTGGAACCTTACAGTTAATACGAAGGATACAGATAAGTACTGAAATTCTATGATCAAATTATAAGAAGTCCGAAAGGTCTTCCAACCAAAGGAATAGTAGTCGAAAAGCGGAGAAGCGAGAATCATAAAAGCAGCCAACATAATTCATTTTTTATAGTAAATTAGTAAGTGAAGGTTTCAATCAAAGATTCTGAACTAAAAAAAAGTCCCTAACAAGGCTAAAAAAGCAATATATTAATATTCAAAGCTTACCATGAAAGGTAACGCAAGAAGTCCAGATTTTGGCTTCTCGTCTTCTTCCTCAAGAACCTTAATTGTCTTCTCCTTTGCTCTATTTATGATCTTTTTAGCTTTATCGTTCTCTTCACCAGGTGAAAGCTCAGCGTCATCGTCATCCACATCATCATCACTACTTTCATCACTGCTACTACTGTCTTTCATGGAATTCATTTTCCTAGTCAGAAGCACATGTTGCTGAAGTTGTTCGGTTATGGCAGCTCGGGTGCCTTCATCTTGTGCTTGCAATCCACGCTTGATTTTACGTTTTGCCCACTGTGAGGTGTTTTTGTGTTTCAGGGTCATGCGTTCCTGTACAACGTAGAAGCAGTTAATAAATCAGAAATAAAACTTGTGTAGTGTAAAACAGTGATAACTAGATGTGTTTGTGTTACAGGGTCATGCGTTCCTGTACAACGTAGAAGCAGTTAATAAATCAGAAATAAAACTTGTGTAGTAGAAAACAGTGATAACTAGATGATGACAATCACCTGTGCCCTTTTGAATTCTTGTTTGATAGCAAGTTCTTTGGCAGATTCAGGATCCATTTCCACTCCAGCGGCTGCTGCTTTCAGTTTTTCTTTTTTAAGAATACGATGATACGTCTTGGACTTAATCTTTTTAATATGTTTTGACTTCATTTCATGACGGAAAAGAAGACTGCGCATTTTTGCAAGTCGATTCTGACGTTCTCGAACATCCTCAGTAGAAAACTGCGGAAATATTAGCAAAAATTCTTAAAAGATAAAGCTTGCTTGTCAAGAAACCCTATTCGCTTTGATATCATACAAATATTTAATAGACAACTCCTAGGATAACTGTATACAGGCAGAAATTGGCAGTATATGTAAAAGTTTTAATTAAAAAGGGTAACTCTGCCCTCGGTGCTGAAATTGAGTGCCTCAAGAGGTGGGAAAATTAGGCCTTAACTCGCCCTTGACACCTGTATTAATATGAAACCTTAAACCTACAAATTAACAGGTTGGCCACAATTATATTAAGTCAACTAGAACAAAAGATAAACTGCATTTGTTGAAAGGAGGTAGAGTACATGGTGACACATAAGAAAAACAAAGGTGCAAACAAAATATTGAGGAAATTTAAGAGAAAAACATTGCAGATCATGTGTACTAAAGATTGGAAGCAAAAAAAGAAAACTAATTAAGGATCTGAGACTTTAGAGTAACCTAGCACAAAAACTAATTAAGGACCTGAAACTTTACATATTAAAAAAAAGGACCTAAATCTTTAGAGTAAGCTAGCACCTTGCGATATAAACAATAAACCTACCAGAATTCACCTTCAAGACAAACACACAAAACAAGGAAAATTGTGGTTACGTTTGCATTGCATACACATGCAATGAAGAAAAATACATAAAACGTGAATAAATAAGAAGGAAAACTAAAACAAACGAAATAATGTTATCATTTTCTTACTAAGATGCCAAACAGAAGGCAAAGCGCTAAATAGGTGACTCTTGGGTAATCAATTTCTTTGTGAAAACTGAATGCATGCTCATATTTCTAACAATTTAGTTTTTCATGACCGCACAAATATATTTATATGGACTGCCACTTTCATAAGAGAAAGGATCCACTCCAAAGAAACCCTTATGTTAAATCTGAAATTCAGCTCAGTGATGTATTCACCAAAGAACTTCAGTCAAAAAGATTCATTACATCATAACCATGCTGTGACTGTCGAACAATACAAGGGGGAGTGTTGGATTTGCAGAAACTCCATCCCTTTAAATGTCAAAAAGTTCTTTTAAATGCAGGGAGAAATTTGGAGGAAAAAAAGGTTCTTTTCTCTTTTCACTCAAAACAGAAATTAGAGGTTCCATCTATTTTTTTTCCTCCTATTCATTTTGCGTCGATCCATTGATTCAAAAGCCATGATGAAATTACAATAACATAATTTTTCTTGGAGACTTATGCATGAGGTTTTGCTTACAGAGGGAAACCGTACCCCTTTACATGGTAGGAATAAGGTCGTATCCAACATTAAGAACGAGGCCTGAAAGAAGATATTTTAGTACCTCGATTCACTGAATGTGAATTAGAAGGATGCTCGTATAAATTAAGAAAAAACAAAAAAAATGGATTATAGCACACATTTTTAGCATGAAAAGAAAATTGATCCAAATTTCTACAATTGATATAAGCAATTTCAGCAGACCGTCACCCAAATGCATACCTTGTTAAGCTCCAGAAGTTTAGCACCGTCTTTCAAGTGAGCTTCTGCAACATCTGGGTTCCGAACCAACGCAGCCATCTTCTTCTCAAACTCAGTCCTCGGTTCAAACTCAGAAGCAATTGCACCCACGGTAGGAACTCCCACATCAACGTCCTCCTGAAAATAAAGAGTAGGAGCCTCCCTGTTCCTCTTAACCAATGGCTCCCACTTAGTGATGTCCTTCTTCGAGTGCTCATAGGCCACTTTTCTCTCTAACTTCTCCCTCTCAACCTTTGGCAAAGGGGCCTGAACTGTCATCGGCTTACTCTCCAACTGATGCAATCTCTTTCTAAGCTTACCATATCCCGATTTCCCATGAAGAGGGTCCAAAAGATCATTAATTCTGAGTTTCCCATCACTAAAATCCCCTTGCAAATCCGACAAAACCACTTCTCTTTTCTCTTTTCCTGTCAAAAGCACCTCTTACTAATCACCCTCGTGAAAAGATCAAAATTTTAACATAATAAGCGAGACTAACTGAAACATTTCAAGGGTAAATTACAGAATTCCCTCCTAAGGTTTGTATGATTGACAAAACATTCCTCTAACCCTAAAATTTACACCTTATCTTCCCCCTCTTATAATTTAGAAAAAATCAACTTGGATATGATTATATGAATACACAATATCATAGCAAGTGACAGTATATACAGTGGAAGAGCCAGGGGCAGGGATGGCCATTGCCCCCTGACTTTTGGAAAATTGTCTAAGTATGTATAGTATATGGTAGATAAATTTATTTGTGGGCTAATTAAGTTAGGAATGCAAATGGAGATATGTACAAGTCTGAGCCCAAAACTTGTATGTTTCCTGCATGAGCTCTATCTGAACTCAAAAACAATCCAGTCCAATACAAGACCCAATCCCTGAAAAGTGAAATTGAACCTACAATCGAGACTGCGCGATTCTCATTTGCAAAATACGTTTCTGTTCTAATTCACCAAAACCCAATCCTCATCTTTTTAGTTCTCAAAAGCATCAAGAACCTGATCGTCAATGGCCCATCGCTCTCTTCTCAATTCATCTCAATTCCTCATCCAATCACCCATCAACAAGGTAAGTTTGAAAGTAGAAATCCTAATTTTGACTATATTTTTTCTTACCAGTTTAATTATCAGTTGATTGGAGCAAATATTGTAACATTGATATGATAATTGTGATCTAATTATTACTTATTAGCGATTTTGTTTTCTAAAATCCTAAGCTCATCTTGTAGGCAAATTGGCATTTGTCAACCTGATAATATCTCTATACTTAATCTCTTACATTCATATAGAATGTTAGATGCATTTTGAACCATTGAAGTACATCGATATCCAAGTGCATGTGGCCTACAATAATATTAGGCTTGGTGATAATGATTAGTTGTAGTAGAGACTTGCTGGATTAAGAATTTGAAGCTTTGACGCATAGCAAAAATGTTAGTAGTTTTTAATATTAGTTCTGTAAATCATTAATATTTTAAAAATAGTTCATCAAATCGTTGAAATTGCTATTAAGCTCCTCAATCTTATATATTACAACTGCTACTCTTGAAATAATAAATGTCATAGTTAAACTGTTCCCTTTATTTTTAAGGGTAAAACTCATAGCATATTGTCAATCTGTTAGGTCATCAAAAAGATTAGAATTTATAGCAGGATATTAATCCCAATCCCACCCCCCAAAAAAAAATATTGCCTTCCTCACGATATAAACTCACATATAGACATCCAAAATATAATGATTATTGCACTGAAATTAAAAAATGAGGAGGGGTCACATTTAAAAAATTTTGTCAATAATGCAACCTCGGTGGATTTTCCATAGTACGCAATTTTCAATAACTAGAGATAAATCTCACCGTCAAAAGCTTGGCTTGGCATCCCCGTGATCCCTTCAAGCATCCTCAAATGTTTATCTCCTTCTTCATCATCGTTATCCGATTGATCCGATGGTATATCCTCGTCATCATCTGAAGGCACATCCTCATCCTGCACAATTCATTAGATTCCCAACAAATTTTCAATATAAAAAGGGGAAAACTCAGGAAAAACATCCAAACCTTGAAGTCTTCGGGGAGCTCATACTCGTAATTCTCAACGGGATCGTATCGCCGATTCTTCTTCGTCTCCTCCTGCGCCATCTCCTCCTCATACTCGTAAAGATCGCCGGCGACCTTCGCCTCAGCTTCGTCATTTGATTCGGAATCGGAGGATCTAGGGTTAGGGTTCAGGCGGTCGAGCTCTTGGAGGAGGACCGAAGGCAAGCGAGGTCCTGACTTCCTCTGCTTCTTCTTGCTGAGTTTGGTGTCCTCTCTCTTGGGATTTTTCTTAGATTTCTTGTTAGCGGGAGATTTTGAGGGGAGATTGCTGGGGTTTCTGCTCTTCGTCATCTTCGATTTCGATTGTTTCTCTGTCATTTTTACAGAGATTTCTAGGGTTTAGACGGCGAAGAATGAAATAAAGATTTCTAGGGTTTAAGCCGCGAAGAGAGGAGGAGGACGAGGGTAGTTTTGAGAGCCAGCGGGCCAAACAAATACCAAGGTAAACCCGCGCTAACCGGCCCGGTTCAAACAAGACATAATTTTCACAAAACCCCTTGAACATTGGGTGCCCCTGAAAACTGTTTCCCATCACGAACCTGAGATTTGGGGTGTCTTAAGAATACCCTCAAACTTTCAAAATTTAACAGAACTCCCTGACTGTGCTCGTTTATCTATTAAGACTATTGAGGGGTCCACGAGAAAAGTTGGAACTTTTAATGGGGCTTTGAGAGATTCCCCACGTTCAATTTTAAAGAATCTTCTTACTTGACTTTTCGGGATAATTTTAAAGAATCCCCGCAACAATGGGTGTGTCATGCTACCTTAATTGTAGTAACCCCCTCAACTATTTAAGTCTAGCAACTCCCCTCAACCATTTCTAGTATGTGGTTGATTGAAATTCTCTTTAAGAGTGAAACTATATTTTATTATACTGGATTGAATCTGAAATTTCTTAAAATATGAATAATCTAATTCATGTTTTTGTTTGTCACTTTCTCTTTCGGTTCGGCTAAATCACTAGATGGGTATTTTTAATAGTACCACATTTCCAATATGTTATTTATTTGCTTTCACTTTCGATATTATGGTATTAATATGAACATTTAACGTCAATTTGATATTATTTTATATAGGAAAAATGACCTGGTTGATATATTTGATAAATAGAAAAATAACCATATTTGTATTAAGTTTGATGTTTAACACTACGATATCGGTTATATTATCAGATTAGTATTTTATTTTGACCCTCGTTATCAATACGGTATTTTAAAATGCTTTGGCTACATGAAGGTGTTTTTATATTGATCCTCTTTTACCAATAACACCTTTTTTATCGCCAATGGAGAGAATTTCAGCAATAACCATATATTTTAGTGGAAAATATTTTTTTCAACTCCCTTACCTCTCAGAACTATTGAATTAACACCACAATATGGCAAAAGATAAGAAGATGAT